AACCCCTTCTCCTTCTCCTCAGCCTCTGCTTCCCAGGCTCAACCCATCCTCCCACCTCAGCCTCTCGAGTAGCTGGGACACAGGCATGTGCCACCACACCCGGATAATTTTTTGTATTTTTTGTAGAGATGGGGTCTCAGTCCATTGTCCAGGCTAGTCTCCAACTCCTGGGCTCAAGCGATCCGCCTGCCTTGGCCTCCCAAAGTTCTGGATTACAGGCATGAGCCACTGCACACAGCATGATTTTCTTAATTATTTTCTTTTCCCTAGCTTACTTTATTATAAGAATACAGTATAATGATACATTTAACATACAAAACGTGTTTATTGACTGTTTATGTTATCGGTTAGGCTTTCAGTCTAACAATAGGCTATTAGTAGTTGTTTCAGGGGAGTCAAAAGTTATACATGGATTTTCGACTGCATGGGGATCGGCGCCCTAACCTCTGCGCTGTTTGAGGGCTAACTGTATTTTTTTCATGTGTCTGTCTCTTGCCACTAGAGGGTGCACTCCCAGAAGGCAGGGACCCTGGGTTACTCTGCACATTTCTACCTTTTGCCGCTAGAGGGTGCACTCCCAGAAAACAGGGACCTTGGGTTACTGTGCACATTTCTGCCTTTTATGGAGCATGCACTCAATAAGCGTTTGCTGAATAAAGGAATGTGCTCATTCTCTGGACTCATCCTTGTCCTGGGTCACATTCTGTCCATGACTCCTGTGAGGTCTGGGAGCACATGCACAGGTGACAGGAAGCTGAAAGGACAGCTTCCTGACTTGGGTGCCCCATAAGGATTGAGGCAGAACACAGCTGGTTGCTTCAAGGTGTTTAATTCAATGAGATGAACATTTAGAAGGAGAGTATAGGTCTCTCACCCAGATGCCCCAAACCGCTGCATAAGCATGGATTGAGGGTCTTGGGGCTTGGCTGCAGGACAGGAGAAAGCACTTGGAGTTTGAATGAATCCCAGAATCACTGACCCACAAGTTGTTGGACCCTGTTAATGGGATTATGATGTTCAGAAAGAAAGAAATGAGACAAGGAAGGAAGGGAAAGAGGAAGGGAGACAAGGAGGGGAGAAGAAGCAGGCAGCAGACTTCCTCCAGTGCTGCCAACATAACTGGATCTTGGGGATGTTATCCCAGAAGGATAAAAATTTTCTAAACTGAGTTCAACTCACTTTCCAAACTTTAAATGACTTCGGGGACTACAGTGGTCCCAAAGAATAAACTGCAATTTAAATGATCTTCTAAGGGTGATGGCCAGTCCTTTGGAGATTGTGCCCCAAGTGCATGAGGCAGGAGGAGCCGAAAGGACCCTTCACCTCTCACACGTCCTGAGCCCTCACCCTGGCGTTCAAACCCAGTGTCGCTGTTTCTGACATGTAGCCTCTTTCCAGCCCTTGGGAAACCGATCATTTTTGCTCATGATGGTTTTTTTTTTTTTTTTTTAATAAAGGTAAGTTCACATTTTGGTGAAAGAAATTCTACAATTTTCATTACCATGGCTATTTTTTTTTAATTTCTTATTGATACATAATAGATATACATAGTTTCAAGGTACATGTGATAATTTAATCCATTCGTATAATTTGTAAGGATCAAGTCAGTGTAGTTGGGATATCCATCACTTTAAACATTTGTCTTTATGCTAGAAGTATTTGAATTATTCTCTTTTAGCTATCTTGAAAGTTACAGCAGCTTATTGTAAACTATAGTCACCCTCCCGATCTATTGAACACTAGGTCTTATTCCTTTATCAAACATGTATTTTCACCCATTAATCAAGAGCATGATTACCTTTCCATCATCAGACTTGACTGTAATGGAATGGGTGCTTGAGGAGGGGTGATGTGAAGCCATTTCATTGGTATGATATTTTTCTCACAAAATCAAACCAACCCCCTCAACCTGCAAGAGTGTCTAAGATCATCTGGCCTCACCCTGTCATCATGCTGAGGAAATGGGAGCTTGCCAGGGACCACACAGCTAGTAGTCTTCTTCTCACACTCAGTCGTCCTTTCTTTTTTTTCTTTTTTTGAGACAGAATTTCACTCTTTGTTGCCTAGGCTGGAGTGCAGTGGCACGATCTTGGCTCACTACCTCCTGGATTCAAGCGATTCTCCTGTCTCTGGTTGTCCTTTCTTGATTAAAACTGTTGGGCTCTTTCTCACTTTATAGTTAGATACAAAGTCTGGCAATAATAAGCACGTTTCTGGATCTGATGACGATGACATAAAGGGAATATTTTCTTCATATGATCTGATGTAAGTTCTTGAGAGTTGGTTGGCCATCCTACAGTGAGAAACCCGGCTGCGGATTGATGTGCTGCCCAGCATACACATTACAGCAGCAATATGTCTTGGGCACCTCAGCCATCCTCAAGTTTGGGGATCATTCTCAGTATCAGCCTTTGTAGTGAGTTCCTGGATAATACATTTGCCTCTATGAAATTTTTTAAGACCTTAAGAAAAAAAGAGAGATTTATTATTATTTATTTTCATGCTGAAGCCATGCCATTTCTAGATATTTGGGCAGTTGTGTGGAAGAGAGATTAACTGCCTTTAGGATCTCCAGAAGACAAGGCCAGGTCGAAGTTGCAGGGAGGCAGATTTCAGCTCAATATCACTAGGTAACTACTTCAAAGTGAAGTGAGCCTTACCAGGAGATAAAGAACCTCACCTCACTCAGTCAAATCTAGGTTCTAGGACTATCAGGAATGTGGTAAGGAGCTTTCTGCATTGGATAGGGAACAATTGCTAAATAGACTCTAAGACCTGTTGTCCTTAGCATTCAAGTAATTGTTATGGATGATAATGATGATGATGATGATGATGATATTGAAATTATTTGTTTGCTGACTATTTCACCTCTAGATTTTGAGCTCTTTGTTCCCAGCACCTAGAATTATGCCTGGCCCAAAGCAGATGCTCTTAAATATCTATTTACCTGACCTGAATTAATATGGCACTGACTTAGTCACTGCTATAATATGCTAGCCACCAACACAGGAGTAGGTCAGAGCTCATCAGGCAGGAAGCATCCCTGCAACAACAGACGAGGGGGCTGGATTACTGAGAGCTCTTAGAGAGATGGATATTTGGGAGGTTCATAAGTATTTTAGATACAGTGCTAATAAAACTGTACTGCTCAGTTGCCTACAAGTTTTTTTTACTGGTCCAGATCAAATTGTGGTTTGAGGAACACTTCAAAGTCTGAGGAGTGTTAAAGAAACAATGATGAATGCTTGTTAATAGTATCGATACTTGTTAAAGCATGGCAAAACAGACTTTATTCAGGACTATCTCAGTAGGTATAGGGACCACTGCCATGGGATTTTGCAGTGAGAGACAGAAATTGGGCTCAGCTCCAAATACAGCAGGAACAAGTGGGAATTTTTAGCCAAGGAGAGGGTGGAGGTCAGTGGATAGGAAATTATTAAGAAGAAACATCGGGTGTCAAGAGGATTCTGACTAAACGGACCTAACAGAATTCTTGCTGAAGAGGAATCAGGGTGACAGGGTAATCAGACATTACCTGGGGATAGTGGAGGATGAGGAACCTCATCAAATATTGAGTATGATCAAATATTGAGGAGGAGGGTTTTTGCTAAACTGACTTAGCAGGGCTCTTTGCTGAAACTGAATTTTATAAGCAAATATACAGATGGGCCTAGGAGAAGGTTCAGGTGCCTGACTAAAGTTTGGAAAACCTGAGAATCTTTGTCAGGAGAGATTTAACCTTTCCATTAAAAAAAAAAAAAAAGCAGGACTTAGGGTTCTGTGAGCAGTCTCAGCAACAAGTTAATGCCTTTGCTACAGGCAATGAAGAATGAACAGAAGAGGGGAGGCTCAGTTGGAACTCTCATTCAACTTGGCCATGGGGCACAGGGGCCTACTCGCTGCCGCAGATGTACAAAAGGATCAACCAACTGTCGAGACCTTGGCACTGGAGGGGTCAAGGTGGCCAGGGCTTGTTCTCTAGGCAGGTGTCACTAGAGCTGTCCTCTTGGCTGCCACATGCCCCAAGAGATGCTTTATTTTCTGTTGTTGCTTTTTTCTGTTAGTTTTCATTTGTTTTGTCTCCTTGTGTGCCTTATTTTTTTTTTAGTGTTTGCCAGATGTTGTGTTTGCAAAATAATTTGTAGAATGGATTTAGAGATGGGTGATGTTACCTTCCTCTGAGTGGATCAATGTTTGCTTCTGTGAGACATTTGGAAGTACGAAAACTCTAGCATCACCTCAATTCAATTTCAGGGCTTGAGAAGAGGTGAAGCTGAACTACAGCATCTGTAAATGCCTGTTTCCTTCTGATTTGCCCTTATTCCTATGGTGGTGCCCTTCGAGAGTCCATCCCAAAGGGAAAACATTTAGTGAGGGCCTTTCTTTTTTTTTGAGATGGAGTTTTTTTCTTGTCACCCAGGCTGGAATACAATGGTGCAATCTTGGCTCACTGCAACCTCCACCTCCTGGGTTCAAGCAATTCTCCTGCCTCAGCCTCCCGAGTAGCTGGGATTATATTATTGTATTTTTAGTAGAAACAGGGTTTCCTCATGTTGGTCAGGCTGGTCTTGAACTCCTGACCTCAGGTGATCCACCTGCTTTGGCCTCCCAAACTACTGGGATTTCAGGCATGAGCCAACTGCACCCAGCCAAGGGGCCTTTCAAGGTGAGTTTTTTACATCAAAACCTACTCCCCATCTCTATGAGGCTGTCAGTAATGCTTTCCAGCCTCTCCATGGCTCCCTCCAGAAGCTGCAAATGCTTGAGTTGAATTGCAGCCACAAGTTCTGGACTTGTATCTCTGGATCCTTGTTTTTCCCCAGAATCATAACCCTATATTCCTCATTGTATTATAACTTCTCCAATGCTTTACACAGATGTTTTATATATATTTTCCAGTTTGTCTATTGTCATCTGCAAGACAGTCCAAATTAGCCTGTTTCTTCTTACTGGAAGCAGAAGTTAAATATTGATCTCTACTACATTGTTCCTAAAACCCCACAGAGATTAAGAATCATCAGCGCGATTCCCCAGTTGCTCCGCAGGGCAACAAGGATTTGTGCCTGGCCTTCTAGGCACTTTTGGAGTAAGAGAATGCTGAGGTTGACCTCTCGGTTCCTCCAGGTGACAGAGCAGATGCACCATGAACAGGTCCAATGAGACCTCCCCTGTAATGGGGTTCATCCTCCTGGGCCTCTCTGCCCATCCAAAGCTGGAGAGGACGTTCTTCGTGCTCATCCTGCTGATGTACCTGGTGATCCTGCTGGGCAATGGGGTCCTCATCCTGGTGACTATCCTTGACTCCCGCCTGCACACGCCCATGTACTTCTTCCTGGGGAACCTCTCCTTCCTGGACATCTGCTACACAACCTCCTCGGTCCCCCTCATCCTTGACAGCTTCCTGACCCCCAGAAAAACCATCTCCTTCTCAGCCTGCGCAGTGCAGATGTTCCTCTCCTTTGCCATGGGAGCCACAGAGTGTGTGCTCCTGGGCATGATGGCGTTTGATCGCTACGTGGCCATCTGCAACCCCCTTAGGTACCCTGTGGTCATGAGCAAGGCTGCCTATGTGCCCATGGCTGCCAGCTCCTGGGCAGCTGGTATCACCAACTCTGTGGTACAGACATCCCTAGCAATGCGACTGCCCTTCTGTGGGGACAGTGTCATCAACCATTTCACCTGTGAGATCCTGGCAGTTCTAAAGTTGGCCTGTGCTGACATCTCCATCAATGTGGTCAGCATGGTTGTGGCCAACATGATCTTCCTTGCACTCCCAGTCCTGTTTATTTTTGTCTCCTATGTCTTCATCCTTGCTACCATCCTGAGGATCCCCTCAGCAGAGGGGAGGAGAAAGGCCTTCTCCACCTGCTCTGCCCACCTCACAGTTGTGGTCATCTTCTATGGGACCATCCTCTTCATGTATGGGAAGCCCAGGTCTAAGGACCCGCTGGGGGCAGACAAACAAGACCTTGCAGACAAACTCATCTCCCTCTTCTATGGGGTGGTGACCCCCATGCTCAACCCCATCATCTACAGCCTGAGGAACAAGGACGTGAAGGCCGCTGTGAGGAACCTGGTGGCTCAAAAACACCTAACAGAGTGACTGTCACAGATTCCCAGACTGCTCAAATGCATACCCTCCAAATGCCTCATTGTTCTCTTGTGGAAATGGTAACCAGGGAGGACCTTAGACTGTCAATGGAAAGAGAGCCCTAAAATTTCTGAGGCTCCTGGTCAATTTGATGGCTTCACACAGAACCATACTGTATCATATCATAGCTATATTATACTGACTAAATCTTAAATTCTTTGATACCATAATTTGATGAATATCCATAAGAGTTATACAGGTGGTCAAAAGAGACAAACAAAAAAATCTAGTGGTACTGGGATCTCGGAGGATAAAGGATATGGTTTGGCTCTGTGTCCCTGCCCAAATCTCCTGTCGAATTGAAATCCCCAGTGTTGGAGGAGAGGCTTGGTAAGAGGTGGTTGGATCATGGAGGCAGATTTCCCCCTTGCTATTGTCACGATAGTGAGTCAGTTCCCATGAGATCTGGTTGTTTAAAAGTGTGTAGCACCTTCCGCTTCACCCTCTTCCTCCTACTCCAGCCATGTAGGACGTGCCTGCTTCCTCTTCATCTTCTGCTGTGATTATAAGTTTCCTGAGGCCTCTCTAGCCTTGCTTCCTGTACAACCAGAGGAACCACGAGCCAATTAAACCTCTTTTCTTTGTAAATTGCCCAGTTTTAGGTATTTCTTTATATCGTTGCAAGAATGGATTAATACAGGCTGGGTGCGGTGGCTCACGCCTGTAATCCCAACACTTTGAGAGGCCAAGGTGGGCGGATCACAAGGTCAGGTGATCGAGACCATCCTGGCCAACATTATGAAACCCCATCTTTACTAAAAATACAAAAAATTATCTGGGCATGGTGGCACGTGCCTGCAGTTCCAGCTACTTGGGAGGCTGAGGCAAGGGGATCACTTGAACCCAGGTCGTGGAGGTTACAGTGAGCCAAGATTGTGCCACTGCACATCAGCTGGGCAACAGAGCAAGACTCCGTTTCAAAAAAAAAAAAAAATGGACTAATACAGTGTTGTTTTGTCCTATATAAAACTGCTACTTACTCTACTCTGATTTGATGTCACCCCAAAGACCTTTACTGTTTCTCATGTAGGGATAAATTGGAAAATGTCATCTGCCCCCACATATAATAGTGAGCATTAGCACTATGGCAGGAATTCTTCTCACATCTTAGCACAAGAAATAGTGAGACCTGAGCAGCTGCTTTGTTTTGGTCTCATGGACGCTAAGAATCTTGCTTTTCACAACATTCATCTATTTATTGCACTGCAAGGAAATGCAGAGGCAAACTTGCCACCCCACTGCAGCAGTAACTGAGTACTGTGTGACTGGGCGCCAGTAGCTTCCTCGCTTTCATCCATGCAACTAACATGACACATGGCAGTTACACACAGAACACATTCCATGAGTATGTCCACATTGTTCTAGAACACCAAAAAGACTGTGGGGAACCAAATGCAAAAATAATTCTCAATTCTACAACTAACAACAGGCCAGCAATAACAGTCATCTCCGACCATCTGCAGCACTGGTGAGATTGGCCATGTGTCTTTCTGCAGCCGAAAGAGCTCTAAGTCCATGACTTCCTCCTACACTCAAGGAATAGACTGAGGTAGGAGTGAAACTTAAGGTATTGTAGTGACTATTTTCAGTCCACTTTATATTTGTAAATATCAGTGTCTTCATCCATTTTTACTGCTATAATAATATACCTGAAACTGGGTAATGTATAAATAGTACAAATTTATTTCTCACAGTTCTAGAGGCTGGGAAGATCAAGGCACCAGCATGTTTGATGTCTGGTGACAGTCCAGTCTCTGCTTCCAAGATGATACCTTGAACACTGTGTCCTCATATGGCAGAAGGGATGAAAAGGCAAAACAAGGGCAGCTAGTTCCCTCAAGCCCTTTTATAACGTTGTGCCTTTTAATACTATCACATTGGCAATTAAGGTTCAAGATATGAATTTAGGGGAACCATTCAGACCATGGCAGTCAGTTATTATAGAACTTTGATCCTTTAACCATGCCAGTACATGCTGGGTTGTCTTCTTTTCTCTTCTCTTTTTTTCTTCCTCATCCCCATGTGAAGTAAGACTCAGGTCTTTGCCCTAAATGCATGTTTATTGGTGGGATTGCAATGAGGACATAGAGAGGGTGGCCTAGAGAATTGAAACAGCTGGAATTCACCAGTTCCTTTACTTTTTAAAAAGCCTAAGACAATTAAAGAGACACATTTAGGTGTCCAGAAAGGGGAGAGGAAAGAGCAGACGTGAAAACAGGAAGGAGGAGAGATTCCACCCAGAGGCAGGAGAGAGGTGGAGGTCGACAGATTCCACTCTAGGCAGGACTCAATCCTACTGCAAATGTGCGAACCAGCTATTGTGTATGTCCGTACCAGTTACACATTTGGGAACCTGGAGAATGACTACCAGTGACTAGTTCCATAAAAAACCATTTGTCCAATCAGGAAATAAACTTGGGCCTAGACCCCATTTATCACTCAGTTTCCATGTACTCCTACAGTAGAAGGGATCTGTGATGCTCCTTTGAGTTTCTTGGTATTAGTGTCAGTTAAGATTCTATAACCAACAGCCCTTAAAATATTGGAGTATTTCATTTTCCCCAGTGTACAGCTACTCAGGGAAATAGCCACAAGTCCTGGAGGGAGATACAGAGAAAATCACTACCGTATACATGCAAGGGCATTGCAGGATTCTTCCTCAGAGACCAGCCTCGACTTCAATTGATGTATTTTGGATCTGAGAATTAATTTAGGTCTGGAATTGAGTGAGTGATCATAATTTTTCAACAGGAAAGCTGTCATCAGGCTTCTGCTCATCTACGCTTGATTTTTTTAATTACATACATTTACAACCTTCTAAATTGCCTACCTGTCTTGCTCCTAGGAACATCACAGTTTAATACTCATTACCATACATTCCTGCGGGTCAGGCCCTCTGGTTGCTATTCTGATCTTGCTGTCTATTACAGGAATTAATCTTCTTGCCCCTAATAGTTAAGTGCTGCCATTGGGCCGCCACTATTCTGGAAATTTATAATCTCCACTAACACTAGGGACTCTACTTCTAAAACAGCACCTCCTACAGTCAGCATCAGCTGACAGAGGATAAACACTGCCAAGTTTCTCAAAAATGTCCCTTATTAGCTTTGTGAAGAGGGTGTCCTCTAGTCTTCCTGGGGGACATATCCATCTGCAGGTCTAATTTAACAAGCCCATTTAGCATCCTAAATTCTTTGAGTCTTTTGGCTCCTTCGTCTACACTCTGCCAAGGCAGTTCGACGTTTCCAGGAGCCATCCCAACCGCCCTGAAGGATCTCTTGGCTGCCAGACACCCTCTCTAAAGTAGTAGCCAGCAGAGCAGCAGCATATTCCTCTGTGGGGGCTATGATGACCTGATGAATTTTAAAGAAGTCCCTTTCAAGGAGCAATTTGAAAAAATTGTGATTCCTGGCATACAACCACTCTCATCTCCTTGGAAATAGCATAGATACAATATAAATTTAGACGCAAAAAATAGAGAAGCCTTACTTCACAAGATGAGACATTTCTGTTACTCTGATACCAAATAACATAAACTCTAGTTCCAGACATACTCAGAAGGAAATCATACCAATATTGTTTGTACAAAAGTGAGTGGGCACCTTTTATGCATAATGATAGGTCTGAAATGCTGGGGCATGTCTGAAGACAGGAGGGAATAAAGGCAGCCAATGATTATATAAGTGGAGCAACTGACCATTTGAGCAATTGAATATAATTGGAAGCAACTGGCATGGGTCAGGATAGGAACCAGCTGGGTGGGGGTGGGGGTGTCAGAAGAAAAATGGAGTTCTTGGCTGGGCAAGGTGGCTCACACCTGTAATCCCAGCACCTTGGGAGAGTGAGGCAAGAGGATCTCTTCAGGCCAACAGTTTGAGACCAGCATGGGCAACAGAGGGAGACTCCCCACTCCATCTCTACAAAAACATTTTTAAAAGTTAGCCAGGTATAGTGGTGCACACCTATAGTCCCAGCTACTTGGGACTGAGGCAGAAGGATCGCTTGAGCCCAGAAGTTCAAGGCTGTGATGAGCTGATTGTGCCACTGCATTCCAGACTGGGCGACAAAGCCAGACCCCAGAAAGAAAAGTGGAGGTTTCATGGCTCTCCTCATCCCCAAGATATTTACTTCTGGAAAAATAATGGTTAGGATTACCCAAGTATACATAAATTCTAAACAAATGTATCCTACTTACATAGAGCTCTTCTTATCACAGGGTGCTGGCAGAAAGCTGGCTTACAATTTTTGAACTTTACAATGGTGCAAAAGTGATACACATTCAGTAGAAACTGTACTTTGAGTACCCATACAACCATTTTTTTCACCTTCAGTATAGCAGTCAATAAATTACATGATATATTCAATACTTTCACATAAAGTAGACTTTGTGCTAGATGATTTTGCCCACTGTAGACTGCTGTAAGTGTTTGGAGCACATTTAAGGTAGGCCAGGTTAAGCTATGATGTTCAGCAAGTTAAGGGTATTAAATACATTTTAAACTTAAAACATTTTCCATTTATGATGGGTTTATCACGACATTGCCCCATTCTAAGTCAAGGGGCTTTCGTATTCCAGCTGAGCCTGAAGGAGCATGATCAAGGGAGTAGTAGGGCCTGTATGCTTCGCATAGGAATTGGCCTGGTTAGTTCCTAAGGCCCCTTTCAAGCTTGGGTGTACCATTGTCTATGAGCATAACAAAAGCCAGAATTCAAGAATGGCCAGTATGGTGGTGTGTTTTAGGAAACTGATTAACCAGAGGACATCCATCCCGTGACTGTTTCCGTGACTATTTTGCATGATCACTGAAAGAAAAACATTGGCAAACATTCCAAACATGAATACTTCCAAATCAAATTAATTAGGCTTAAGTGATCCCAAAATAGAAGTATTCCTCATCTTTATTCTTACAACAAGAGAGGTTGTAAGAATAAAGGTTTGTTGTGAGGTTTGAACCATGATTAAATTTGTGGAATAAACCAAATGGCTTCCTTCCTAGGGCAGAAGAGAAGCTGCTCAAGAGGAATCAAGACA